TATCATACCTTATTTTAAGCATTCTCAGGAGAATTCTCTGTCTAGTCTTAGTTCTGTGTACTGAAAACTTTTCCATTTTTAATCTCTTCTTGTTCTCTAGTTAATTTATGATTGTATAAGTGCATGCATGCATACTATTTGGACAGAGACAAATAAACACACACTTAAGTGAATAAATGAAGAGAATTTAACATGTTAGTCTTTTTTATTGCTTTGAAAAAAATACCTGAGATAAACAACTTAAAGAAGAGAGGAGTTATTTTGGCTCCTGGTTTCTGAGGTTTCAGTCCACGGTTGGCTGGCTCCATTGTTTCTGGGCTGTGGTGAGGCAGAGTGTCATGGCAGAAGGGAGTAGTGGAGCATAGCTACTCACCTCATGGTGACTGGGAGGTACAGTGAGTGAGAGAGAGCAAGGAATGGGAGAGACAAGATACAGTCCCCAAGGTCATGCCTCCAAGGACCCACCCCTGCCAACTAGGTTCCACCTCCTAGTCTCCACCACCACTCCTAGTCTCCATTTAGCCATGAATCCCCCAGTGGACTAATCCATTCTTAAGGTTAGAGCCCTCATGATCCAGTCACTTCCCTAAATCTCTGAAGCTTTCCATACATGAGCCTTTGGAAAATGTTCCAGATCCAAACTCTAACAGCTCAAACAGATGTCCTGCTCAACATGACAGTTTAGACCTGTTAAATAAACTGTAGTGGTTGGTGAAAAACTAAAGTATTCATCTCTTTCATGTCCTGTTATTTTCCATTTGTATTCTAAGTAAAAAGCTTTATTGTTGGAAAAAGTATGAACAAGAAATGTTAAACTCTGCCAGCATTCATTTTGGATGTTGCTCAGATGTTCAATTTACAGTCTGCATGAAAAATGAAGAGTCAGGATTGGAATTGCAGTCAAAACGGGTCTCCATGAGACACCCTTTCTACCTTCTTGCAGAACAGGGCTATTTTGTGCTCTTTTGCTCTGATCAGTAGTAAACTCCGACCACAGTTAATGTCTTCTTTAATTTTAGGAATCTATCTTCTGGATTTAATCTACATCGATTCTGCATATCCTGCCTCAGGCAGCATCATGGAAAATGAACAAAGATCTAATCAGATGAACAATATTCTCCGAATAATTGCTGATTTACAAGTTTCCTGCAGCTATGGTTAGTAACCTTGTTTCTTGAGATTTTAAGATCTTGCATCATTGAAATTTGGGTCCAACATCAAATTTCTTCTAGAACACTTCAGAAACCAGGTGGTCCAACAAAGCTCTTCATTTTAATATCTCAAGCTTCAAATATGTGCTAGATCCTTTCCACATCAGTTTGGTCTTCAAAGGCCACCATCCAGGTCAGCCTTCCTCTGACAGGTACCTGTGTTCTCAGTGCAGGGGCCTCCCTTGTCCCAGAGCCTCCACTCACCATGATGAGCAGAGCAGTCACAGACATAGGCTTCAGGTCAGACAGACTCAGTTGAAGTCTCAGAGCTACCTCTTGAAAAGTCACTTTCTCCTCTATAAGGTTTGTTCATGCATGAAGCTGGGGCCATGACGTGAGCGGTGCCCTGGGCACAGCCCTCATGTTTCCGCAGAGCTCAGGAAGTGCTCTCACCTTTCACCATTAGCCTCACTTGCCACTGCATCACCTTAGAGCAGGTGTCCTTATTCGCGTTTCACAGACGAGAACATGGAGACTTTAGAGAAGCAAAATGACCTTCAGAATCTGGCAGCCAAGGGGACAAACCTCCAAGGGCTCCCCCAGCACCTGGATGCCCGTCCAGGAAAAAGAGGGTCCTCCCTACCCATCCTCTTCAAAGCCTCCTCCACTCCTGCCAATTAAAGTTTCTGTCCCACCCCGTGGCCCCCTCAGGAGGAGTGCAGTGACTGTGAAGTCTACAGAGAGTGGCTGGCAGCAATCACCCAAGAAGGAGAGGCAGTGTGGTGTGGCACGGCTTCCGCTAACCTGCGTCCACCATGGCTCTGTTGCTTCTCAGTTGCCCAGGTTCTTCCTCCATGCCTCCTATGTGAGGCTGAGTGAAGGTTAAGATAGAATCATCTGGAGCCCAGTCCAGCTCAGACAGGTGCTCAGGCACAGGGCTCCTGCCTTTCTTCCCAGCATGCAGCAGCTAAAGCCACGGGCCATGGTCTGGATTGGGCTTGTGCACCCAAATCAGTGGTTCCTGTATTCCTGCCACACAGACAGTGGGCAGGCATGGGAGGTTTGCCTGATTCCTCCAGTGGGCATATGTTTAGGGCACAGACAGCTATTTCTAGTCTGTTCTAGAGGTCAGCACACCTTCTCTTCCCAACTCTGAGCTCTAAGTGGAGGCCTCAGATTCTCCTTCCTGGCTGGAGAACTGTGGTGGCCTTGGAGTGTGGCATCTGTGGCCCACACATTTAGGGGTCACTCCTCAAGGGCCTAACCTAGGTCTGACCACCCCTTTGTGCCCAGCACAGGGTCTGACCCTGAGGCAGGTCAGCACTGCTGGCAGAGGGAATGGACCTCAGTATCCAAGGAGCATCTGATTTGTACTTCCTGTGCTTTTCCTTTGGGACTGGAGGTGGGAGAGACTGAGGCCTCTGGGTTTTGTCTACCTTTTGCAGATCACCTCACAACCCTGCCCCATGTGCAGAAGTACCTGAAGTCAGTGCGCTACATTGAAGAGCTCCAGAAGTTCGTGGAAGATGACAACTATAAGTGAGTCCCCACCCACCCCTGAGTCAGGCCTACCAGCTGTGTTGTCCCTAGCACTCAGGTCCCTGGGGGTGATCTAGCCCTTATTGGGACCAGTGAGTAACAGGGCCCCCATGCCCCAGCACCCACAGCACTGCAAGCCCTCCAGAAACCAGGTAAACAGCAGCACTGTCTGCACAGCCCTGGTGCCTCAGGCCCCAAGGTCTGAGCCATTGTTTTCCCTTCTGAGTGTGGTTTTCCCATGTGGCCCAGGGGGCAAGCGAGTGGACCCCCAGCACCATCTCTTGGCAGCCCCTGAGGACAGACCCACTTGTCAGAAAGACCACTGCAGACCCTGTGGCTTGTCATGGCTCACCCTGCTCTGGTCCTCAGTTCTTTCTTCACTGGAGACACCTGGGAGTATATCCAGCGTTTCTGTCTTTGGAGGGAGAAGGCAGACTTTTGGTATCAACTCTGCCATATTGGTTGGGCATCCTCTTGGCTCATTTTGAGTTTCAGGTCACCTGTGAGTCTCAGTTCTTTTTCATGTAACCTGATATCAAGGCCAGTCTCAGCCATCCTGCAATTGATCATTTGCTACCTAAATGTCAACTTTACAGGTTTTCTTTTAAATCTTATCCTACTGGTTGCTCCCAGTACACCATGATTCCTTTGAATCTTGTTATCTAGTATGGATTTTCTCTCTCTCTCTCTCTTCCAGTTTTATGTCTACAAATTTGGTCTTCCTTATTACTTGGTATTCATCTAAGCAAATGAAAACTGTGGAGAACTGTGGCCACTGAGTCCCACACTGGGATCTGGGAACGGCTGGTCAGCAGCGCCCCACTGGCCAGCTCTGCCATAGCAGCTTGCTGTCCTGGCTATAAATCAGAGCTGCCCTAAACACTTTCTAACCATCCAGATGTCTCGGGTGGGGCCTGGAGATCTGTCTTCTTTCAAAGTTCCCTCTGTGGTTCTAAGATCCTAGACATAAAATATTAGTTGTTGTTATAAAATAATTTGTCAAAATTAAAAATAATGTGAAATTGTAATCTATTACATAATAGCAACAAGAACAGATGAAGCCAGAGATTACCATTAAAACTGCTGTTCATCACACAAAGCATTTGCTGTTCCTGAAAAGAGTGCCCTGCAGCCGAGACTATTCCTGCTTGGGTTCTGGGTAATATTTTCCATTCATGCACCAGACTTTCGATTTAAAGAGACAGTAGTTTTTCATTAACAGTGATATTCTTTAAAGAGAAAAATGGTCTATAAATATTTGTGACCATGACACAATCCCTGGAAAGGCTGAAGATTGTTAGCAATTACGCCTTCTTTTCTGAAGGTCAAAGAGCACCCTCAGCACTTGATGCTAAAGGACAGTCACCCCTTTGTTGTGGCCAAAATGGGCAAGCCCAGCAGGGAAGGCTACATTTGGGCCCCAATCAGCCACCACTGGGGCTCCTTTCCCAAGGAGGTCCTGGCTCTGAGTAGCAAGAGGAGGCAGGGCCTGTGGTTCTGCTGGGGGCATCCTCTCCATGGCCAGCTCGCACCTGGAGACTGGCTTCTCACCCTCACGTGGGACACTGGTGACACTGGTGACACTGCTTGCCTAACACACTTCCTGTCTGCTTTGAGGTATTGCACCAAGAGGCCCAGTTAGTGCTTTGGCCATTTTTTAAAATTATTATTATTACCCAAATTCCTGCCACCTAGAAAACACACCCATTAGAATTAAGTAAACATTATTTTGGTCATTTTTCTATGTGTGGAAAATTTACATGTACAAGAAGCATGGACCAATGGATGGATGCAATGATGGAATTTATTAAAATAGGATCATACCACCCTTGCTATTTTTTAATTCAAGTATTTTAGTTTAATTCAACAAGAAAAAGGAACTGAAATAAAAGGCAAGAATCTCTGCTCTCTAAATAATATTTCTTTTACAAGGGATATTATTTTCCAAATGAGCCTCCTAAGACTCTTAAGAGGGATCAGGAAAAACATGAAGAGGCCTGAGTCAGTGAGTTTCCTTGTATCTAGGTTTCTACTGTGTCCGGTATCAGTTGGCTCCAGTTTTGAAAGCTGAAACTATGAGCACTACCCCCTCCTTCACCTCCACCACCTTCCAGATTTTTGTTAGTTGTGTTGTTATTGGACAACGTAGTTCAAGTTTATAACATAAACATCATGTTCAGGAATCACAATTCCTACTGTTTCATGTTTTTAAGTGGATTCAGTTCTTACCACCTGTTGTTCCCCCACAGCATCTCAGTTCCTGGAGTCTTTATTTTCAAAACGCTCCCTTACATAGCTGAATTTCATCAGGAAGCAGGCCCCTCCCCGCCCTCATGGGTCCTGCACTCCCTGAGTTCTCCATGGAAATGTCTGTGTGGGCTGGGGCTCTGCCCTCCCCCAGGCCTGTAGACCCTGTGCATTGCCTCCTGGCTTTGGGTGGTGCTGTAGAGAAGTCTCAAGTAAGTCTGTTGTTTTGTCTGCCTGCGGGTGAAGAGCTCTGTGAAGTTCCAAAGCCCTATAGGGTACAGCCTCAGAGCCACGCAGGGTTTCTCTGCTCTGATGGACTTTCTCATCCGTGCCATTTCCTGGCTTCTGTCACTCAGGGTGTCATGCGTTGCGTGTTCTCTGCCCTCCTCATCCTGAGCTCCTCTCTAAGTGCTGCAAGCTCCTCCCCAGTGCTCAGTGTCCCCAGGTGATCTGTTTCCACTGAGGTGTTGGGCCGGCACGTTCTCATTCCAATCTTCCATTTTGTCCTCTCAGTCCACAGTCCCCTGTTCCATCTTGTTCCTTTGTTTCATCCTCTCATTTTTCAGATTTTGTTGTGTTCAGCCATCTTTTTAGTAAGTCTTACCCCCATTGAGAGCACCTGAGGGGATTTCCTGTGGTGCTGGGTCAGGCCCGGGCAGAGCTGTCTCCCTTTCTCTTTCCTTCTTTGTGAGAGGAGGTCTGCAGGCTGCCAGGCCATTTCTTTTCTTCTTGCTTCCATTCAGGAGGCTGTCTGGGTGTTCCATCCTCTGCTACACCAGGGGGCACCTGGCCTTCCTCCTGTGTGCAGAGAGGGGCTGGTTCCCCTCCTTCTGGCTGGGAGGCCCAGGGGTCCCAGATCTCCCCAACTCTGTAGCCTGGGGGAGCTGGAGCCCCAGCTCTCTGGAGACAGGAAGCCTACAGTCAATTTGGTAGTGGGTTCAGGGTTTCCTTCACCTCATTGGGGGCTGTCTCCATCCACTCCAGAAAGAGCTACCCCAGGTTACCAGTTGTGACCCACAGAGCCTTCATGTGTGTCAGAGCATCCCTGCTCTGCTCTGCACTGCTGGCCCTGTGAATTTGGGAAAGGAAGCTACTTAGTCCCACTGCCCCCAGTGTCCTCATTTATAAAATGTATGCAGCTGTGATCGGGAGCAGATCTCACAGTGTTCCTGGGTCCTGTGGCTACTTGACCCTTCACAGACATCCCATATCCCAACCCCAAATGCACACTTGCTCTGTTCTCCCTTGGATATGCCAGGGCCTGTCTGATTTTGTGAAAATCTTTGTTTCAGACTGTCACTCAGAATTGAACCAGGAAGCAGCTCTCCAAGACTAGTTTCATCCAAGGAAGATCTTGCAGGTATTGTAGCCACCTCAGGTGAGACCAGAGCCTTCATGGACTAAAGGTGGCTGCTGGGTTGGCCTTTGCCTGTGGAGCCAAAGGGCACAGCTGAGTTTGGAGTGTGGCAGACTCAACTGTCCCCACTCAGTCTCCCATGCCAACCTGCCAGGCTCCTGATCACATGGAACCCCTGAGGGACACCCCTGTCCAGAGGCTCCCTGGAGGACCCCGGGAGTGAACAGCCCCAAGAAAGGGAAAAACAGAGCCCCAAGTTGGAAGTGTGCATGAGGAACAGAAAAATCCAGGATCTTCTCCAGGCCACCTAGACCTTTACCGTTGGGGCATGTGGGCCGGGGGGTGGGTTATGTGCCCCTCAGGGGTGTCCTGAATGCCTAAGGTTTGGGTGTCACCATGTCCAGGTGGCTCATCCTCCTGGGAACATTGGATGTTTTCCCCTGTTAGGGAGCGCGCACGTGCGTGCACACATGTTCCTGGTGATGAGCTCCCAGGCTCTGCATCAAGTCCCAGCCCCACCTTTTCCAGCTTGACATGTAGCTTCTCTGATCTTCAGTGATCTCCCCCACAGAGTGGCGCTAAGATGGCACACTCTTGTAGAGCTGTCGTAATTCCTGATAAGTCAGGCCCGTAAAGTACTCTGCCTGGGTGTTGGTGGCTTCACTGTCATTTTCATCATGTTACCTTTTAGTCACAGTCCAGCCAGCTCTCAGTGACCAGGGCTGATCTCCAGCAGCACTTCTCCTAGTTTGATCTCTGGATCACACTAACCTGTGATTTAGACCACTGCAGTTTTACATATGTGACTTCACCCCTCTGGGTTTCAATTCCTTACCTATAAAATGGGATAGTAAAACCATCATCCCAGGAATGTTAGAATGTCAGACCAGGACCATGTTTGGAAGGCATCCAGTGTAGTTTGACATGCAGTGCCTATTTGGGAAGGGGTGGCAAGCCGTTGCCATGCCCCCTCCAGCCTTGCACCTGCTCAAACCACCATCTCCACGCTCCCATGTCAGAGCCATGGGGTGGCAGGGCTGGGCAGTACTGCATCCTTCTGCAAGCCCCACCCTGCAAGGCCTCTGCCCTGTCCCTGGGCTGCATTCCCAGCTCCCTGCCTCCAGCCTCTCTGAACTCCATCCTGCCAGCTGGACCATACCCTATACCCTAGCACCCTGGTCTTCTGATAACTTGGCAGAGGGCAATATGGTTGCTCCTCAGAGCTTGCGAGATGCTCTTGTCTACACCTCAAGGTACTCAAGTCACTGTTGGCCATGGCTTGATTTTCATGGAGCTCATGGGGCTTCCTTGAGCCCACCATTAAAACATCTTCCAAGCTCACTGCCTTCCCATGACAAATGGCCCCTGGCAAATGTGTCCAAGGGAAAACTCTTGGGGCTGGGCTGGTCTCCACCTGCTCCCTGTTCTAGAATACTCCCCCAGACAACTTTGTCCTCTGAGATGCTCTTTTTAACCCACACTCCATCTGTAAAGTTGGCCTGACATACTCGTCCCTCATGGGGCTGTCATGGGGACTTTCTGAGGTGATGTGTGTGAAGCATTGCGGAGCCTGACGCTCCAGACCCATAGGTGCAGCTTTGTCATTGGTGCTGTGGTTGTCAACACCAAGATTCTGCCTGTCACTGAATCAGCCTTCAGCTTTTAGCTAATTGGCACTGCCTCAGGGAGGCCTCCCCAGCTTCCACCCCCACCAGGTCAGGTGCCATCTCACAAGGGCCAGCAAGCTGTGGGCCAAAGCTGGCCCACCCTGATTTTTGCATAGGAGGATGCACAGCCATACCCACCCCCAGACAGATTGCCTGTCTGCTTTCAATGGCAGAGATGAGTGGGTGGACAGAGCCCCTGTGACCTGCAAAGCCTAGAATCCTTATGACTGGCCCCCAGCCCCATGCTACACCCTCCTGCCAGCACTCTACCTCTCCTGCACTATATGTCCCTCCAGTCATCCCTGGGCTCCTTTGTCCCATGTCTATTTTTCCCACCAGACTAAAAGCCCCCTGACAGAGGGCCCAGTGTGGAACTCCACCAGCCCAGCACAGAGGGGCCCTGGGTAAATGCCTTTATCACCTGCCTTACCCCTCAGCCCAGCCCTGGAGCTCCTGGCACCCAGTCTTGGTGGCATGGGCTGACCACTGATTTTGCATAGCCTTCCAGGGAAGTGCTGATGCTGGCAAGTTTCTACTCAGTGCAGTGAGCCAGCACACAGGAGTGTTTTCCACCCGTCTTCCAAATCCCTGGCTTCAGCCCTGGAAGCAGGATGTGAAGGTTTGCATTGATCACCAGAGGGCTGGGGAGTATCTGATGGTTGAAGAACGCTCAGTGGCCCAAACTGCCCCCTCGCCACCTCAAAGGACACAGAGGGGGGTGCTGCTATAGCCAGGGGCAGATAGGGGTCCCCCAGAGGCAAGGACCAGAAAGGCAGCTCCAGGGAGGCCTCTCTGGGTCTGGCAGTTAGACTGAGCCGCGTGGCAGGAGCCCGACCAGACTCAGGAACTGGAATGTGCCTCATGCAGTCCCAGGAATGGGAGGAACGTAGCCTCCCTTCATTACTCAGGAGGGGGGTTAGGCTCCATTGGGGCTCTTTCCAGCAGTCAGACATCCCCACACCTGCCAAGGAAAGGCCCCCAGATGTTCTCGTGCATTCATTCAGACATGCTATGGGCCAATTGCCCAGCAAGAGCAAGGCAAGACCCTGACCCCTAGCACTCACATGTGGTGGGGAAGATAGGCAGCAAAATCAAGGGCAAGAACTGGCAGGTTCAAAATCAAAAGAAGGCCAGTGTGAGCAGGCCAAGATGGCCAGCAGCAGGATGGGGCACGCTCTAATCCTTCTCTAACCAGCTCCTCTGCCTCGGGGCCTGGGAGGCCTTGACCCAGGCATTGATAGCAGCCACGGTCGCAGCCTCTCCAGGAGCTTAATTATAATCAAAAGTGGTCTCCAAGCTGCAGCCTTCCTTTGGCTCCTTGGATGGCCCCTAGACCCCAGAGAGGGCTGTCCCCCACTTTCCACCCCTGAGGAATGGCCATGCACTTCCAACAAATAGGCTGGGAGAAAGGAGATGAAGAAACCTCGGTTTCCAGGTCTGTGGAGGAAAAAAGGCCAGGAATGCCACATCTTCCAACCCCTGCTCCCCCTCATGTAATGTTTGGCTTACATAAATGAACTACCACTTTCCTGGAGAGAAAAACTCACACAGAACACTCACCCTAAGAGAGGGAAAGGCACATTTCATGGTTTTGGAACTGATTAGGACATTTCCAGATTGGCCCCACCTCTGCATGGCTTTCCCAAAGGACAGTTGTCCTCAGACTAGAGTCCAGGGTAGCCTTGGCCTTGGCCTTGGCCTTGGCCTCCACAGTCTGCACCTGCACTTCAGGACTGCTCTCTGATGCACCTTTCTGTCTCCTGGTTTTATCACCTGGTACTAAGCCCCATACTAGGGCCAGCCAGACCGAGGTTCAGAGCTTAACTCAAGCACCTGGGGACTGTAGGACCCTGGCAGTTGGCTTAATCTCTCCGAGCCTTGGTTTTCCTGGGAACAGGAATGCTTCACACCACAGTCTCTCACCACAGGGTCACTAGGGGAGTCTCTGAGGAGGTACTGGGAAGCCCACGCATGGCGCTTGCACACTCTGCCTCACGGGAGTGCTCTCAGCCCTCCCAGGTAGGCTCCCATGAAGATCTGCCAGCACTGCACAGGGGCCCATGGCCCTCACCCAGCTCCTACTCAGGTACTTATCAGCCATGTCCCCCAGAAGCCAGGGTCACAAAACAAACATTTTATGACAAATACACATCCATGGTTCAGAAAGTCAGACTGGGGTTGAAGACACCTGAAGATATCATGTCTCAGATGCCTGGTGCTTGCTGGGCTGGGGCTGCAGCCACTCCATAGCAGCTGGGCTTCCTCACAGTATGGCAGCCTCTAAGTCATCAGACTCCAAGGCTGGGGCCAGCTGGCTGTCCCCAGAATGAATGTCCTAGGAGGGCATGAAGGAAGCTTGCATGGCAGGGTCTTCATGACCCAGCCTCACTCTGAATCAGAGCAGCCACAAGGCCTGCTCAGGCCTAAGGAGAGCGGAGGGAGACCCTACCACTCAGGCAGCAGTAATGGACTATGTGGACAGCACCCCAGCTAATTCACAGGAGGAAAACGGAGCTACTGCCCCCCGTCCCTGTCCTCCCAATCACTGCCATGTGCTCACTCAGTGCCCCTGACACCTCCCTGTGATGTGGGCCATCCTGTAGGTGAGGATGCCAGGGGCTCACCCAGCCTCACATGTCAAAGAAGTGGCAGAGCCCATGGCTGAGCCTAGGAGCCTGGATAGGTGTGTCACTTGTATCTAACGTGGGAAAAGCAGGGTGTGAGTGAGGGCCCCCGAGCACTCAGGGCTCTATCCCTGTTGCCCATTGCACCTGTGCAGTACAAAAAAAAAGCACCTGCCCAGGAAACCGCCTGGCACATCCCTGCATCTCCTGTAGGCACTTGGAGCCAGCCACTGTCTCCACTGGTTCTCAGATACTACTAGAATCAGAACTCTATACCTGACTGGCACTAAATCTCGTTTCCCTACCCTGACTGGGGTTCTTCATGCCTGGGTGCTTGTGGCAAGAGAGCAGCAGTGTGGCTTCCTCTCCCTGTGTTCCTCTACTTGCTGACCATAGCCTAGGATGGGACACAGTCAGAGCAGTGGATGCTGTTGCTGTGGGGCACTGTGAATTCCAGGTAGTGGTCAGTGCACCTGTCCCTCTCCTGGGAACTGGCACAGTGTTCTAGAGACTCTAGCTTCCCTGACCAAGAGACATGCATATCCCCTTTCAAGGGACCCCTGCAGCCACTTCTATGTCCCCTCCGAGTAGATCCCCACCATCACTTCTTACTTGCCCTCGATGTCATGCCAACTCTCCTCACAGGGCCCCCTGGTGCACGGGAGGCCTACCCTCCCAGACTGACCTGAGCACACAGCTAGCCCTCCTGTGGCCACTGCTGTCCTCTGGCTGTGGCCATATTGGCATCCTCAGGCCTGATCAGGCACTGGGAGCCCCCTAGGTCTCCCACCAGGAGGAGACATTTTGAGTCCCAAGTGGTCTGTTGGCAACCCCAAGTTTTGCTTGATGAGGAAGAGAGCAGCCCAGGGATGGGGAAGGGCCTGCCTCTCTCCAGAGGCTCCTCCCTCTGGAAACCTTTTCTGTCTTCAGAATGGCGGAGGGCTTCCACACAAGGAGCTCACGGGCTGGGAGTTGGTCATGTCAACGTCAAGAAGAAGGACCAAGCCAGGCGCAGTGGCACATGCCTATAATCCCAGCGGCTAGGGAGACTGAGGCAGGAGAATCGTGAGTTCAAAGCCAGCCTCAGCAACCATGAGGTGCTAAGCAATTCAGTGCGACCCTGCCTCTAAATAAAATCCAAAATAGGGCTGGAGATGTGGCTCAGTGGTCGAGTGCCCCTGAGTTCAATCCCCAGCACCAAAAAAAAAAAAACAGAGGGGCCAAGACTCAAGCCTACTTTGCCTAGTCTCACTGTCCTGCTAGGGGCTCACAGGTACCAGGCTCCCCTGGCTCCCTGTGGCCTGGGAGTCTGCACCTTCTGTCTGTGCAGAGAGCAGGCCATAATCTAAGCCCAGTCGAGGGGTGATTGGATGCTGTTTTCAAGAAGAAATGAAGTGGCCTTCTGTGTGGTGTATAAGCTTGATCTTGGCTTGCAGCAAGGACCTGTGAGAGCTGCATGTTTGAGAAACACAAAATGTACGTGGAAGTAAATGTGTGTGATCAGTACCCAGACCTCTCCATGAAACCCACTCAGAGACTTACTTTCTTTCTTTTCTTTTTTTTTTTTTTGGTTAATATTTATTTTTTAGTTGTAGATGAGCACAATACCTGTATTTTATTTATTTTTATGTGGTGCTGAGGATCAAACCCACGGTCTTGCATGTGCTAGGCGAGTGCTCTACCACTGAGCTACAGCCCCAGACCACCCACTCAGAGACTTCCTGTGTAAGGGGTCCAGCATCCTTAAGAGCCATGGGGCTCCGGCAGACCCAGAAGGGCCCAAGTCCCCAGTCTGGGAACAGGACTATGTACTCAGGCAAGCAGGAAACAGAGGACACTGAGCCTTCACTTGGGCAGAAGTCCTCCCTGCACACCAGAAGCCGGGACGGTGCTGGCAGGAGCTCCCAATGGCACATGGTCATTCCTCCTCCAGTGATGAAAGACCCGCTTTGGAAGAGCCTCCCATTCAGATGGGTCACTCAGACGGGACTGGAACCCAAGTCTTGTGACTCCAAGTTAAGTAGTTTCCCCTCTGTCACAGCTGCCTCCCATTAATTCCCGATGTGCAAGACTTGGAAGGCGCCCCTCAAGCAGACTGGAATAGGACAGCGCTGGCCCAGGGCAGCACTCGGAGGCAGCCTGAAATCCGTGGGAAAGAGGTTCCCCAGCCCAGAGCAGGCCCTCCTCAGCAGCCATGTGAGGCCAGCCAGTGGCCTCCAGACACCAGCCCCACACCGCCTGCTCACTATCCCTCAAACCTCCCCCTGAGTGCAGGGCACCACTCCAGGAGGGTAACTCCGGGTTCCCTCCCTCTACATCTCTACCTGGCCGCCTCCTGGATACCTCTCAGCCACACCTCTCCACCCCACCTGCAGCCTCAAGTTGGCCACATCCAGTTGCTCTCCAGCCAGCAGGGGCTTCCTAGGGTGGGAGTCTGAGGGTGCCAGAGCACCTTCCCCTGGGGAATCTCCAGGCTCCTTGGAGCCTGCCGTCACCTGAGTCTGCATACGCAGCTCCTTCTGCCTCCGTCTCTGCTCACGCTGGAGCTCTTCTTGCAACAGCTGGGATGTTAGATTTTCCAGGATTCTCTGGTCCTCCCTCTGGGTTCTCAAATGCAGCAGCCAGAGCTCTCCCACTCGCCAGCTGCTCAACTGGGCAGGTTATTGAACCCTCTGACCCTCAGATTCCACGTTGTCAAATTGAGATAACAATAGTACCTGCATGACAGTGTTATTGCAATGAATATATGCTGTGAACCAAGCATTTATCTTGGGTTCGGGAACCTCAGGGGTGCTCAGTGAATGTTAGCATTTAGCACCGTCGCCATCATGGTGGCGGTGTTTCACTCCTGGTACAGATGATGCTCCTGCTGCACTGATTATTCTCATTCTCCTGTCAAAGCAGGAATCTCTCCTGGGTTCAGTTACCTCTCCCACACTTGACTCCCAACCCCATAAAAGCAGAACATCATCTTTCTAATCCATTTTGTAGCTCTGATGCTTGGCCCAGAGGCAGCCCGTAGGTCAGGGAGCAGTAAACATCTATGGGAGCAGAAGGCAGGTTACTGTGTGGTTGACCCCTCCCGGGGAGGCTGCGGGCACAAGATCACCATTCCTGTTTTGTAGATGTAGCCTGAGGGCTCAGAGGGGTGAGGTGACTTGCCCAAGACCCTTGCTCAGCCTGAAGTGCAGATACAGGTGGGAGACCAGGCCTGGCCACCTCCGGATCCCAAGTCCTTTGTCATCAGTGTTCATTATCCTTTACCCCAACCACTCCAAGGCCATTATTAGAAGGCCCTGTGGTTTTTTCTCTTCTAATCAATGAGTGGTCTTTTGGACAGTGTTTTGGTTTCTTGAGAGAAATGTAATGAAAACCAGATCTTTTTCTTCAACACTTAATATCTCGTTCCCCACAGAGACTGTCAGTTCTCATATGTTCCAATAAAACTGCTAAAGAAACAGCCACTTAAAGAGCTTTAAAGATTATTCATGGAAAAATTATGCTGAGGAAAAATAGAGCAATCCTCTGAGATAGTCAAGCCACATGGTCAGTTTTTCCAGCCATCCGTGCCATATCAGGCCAGGCGGTGGGGACTGCACTCTGCTATGAAGTACAGAACCCCAGCTCATTATCACCACCCCCATCCTGCCCCTTCCCCTGCCCGAGGACAGGGCAAACAAACTTGCCAGCTGCCAAGCTCTACAACAGCACCAGAAGACAAGTGTCCCTGGCACTGTCACGTGGGGGCCACCCCAGGCTTGGTGGGGCAGGAATGTGAGGCCTTTCGGTAGCAGAGGGTGTCACTTACTGGCAGAGAGCCCCCCCCATCTGGGTCCCAGCTGAATGGAAATTCTTCTGGTTCCATGTCAGACTCAGGCTATTGGTCAACAATGCAGGGGGCGGGGGAGTGGCCGAAACCCAATGCTGGGAGAGCAGATCAGCTCCGACACTGGCCCAGGAGGCTACGGGCTCTTCCGCTGGGGCCCCCGCACACCCTCCCCAGCTGGTTGAGGGGCATCTGAGGCCAGGCATGCCTCCCAAGACTCCAGAGCAGAAAGGGGAGGGGGCACATCCGGGCCTAGTCCTGGACAGAGGGTAGAGAGTTGAGTAGAAGAGACGGAAGCAGGTCCAGAGTTCTGGAGAACTCAAAGTGGGAAGCCAGCCAGCAAGCAGGAACTACATGCAGTAGTTATTGTGGTTCTGTTGTTACACAGATTCTGTGGTCCATCAGATTCTGTTCTCAAGATGCCACCTGAAGCAGGAATTGGTACATCAGACAGCCAATGGGGCTGCCCAGTCAGTGGGGCCCTGTGCACAGCAGGACCCAGTGAGAAGGAGCCAGGCAAGAGTAGGCAGGCCTTGGACCATCAGCGGCGGCTGCAGCACCCTCCAGCCTGTGGCCCTGGTGTGCCTCCAATCTTCCCTCTAAAGTGGCTATGACAAAAGAACCTACTTCAGAGAAGTCAGCGAGTCCGAGAGCCAGGACATGGACAATGCCAGCTCATTAGTGCACAGTGGGCACCAGGCCCTCCCCCTTCCTTCCTAAGGGCAGTGACTGGGCTTACCCATTCCAAATTTCCTAGAGAAGTGTCACCTGCTCCCCAGATCCCTCATACAGTCTCTCTCTGTGTTCTGTCCAGTGAGTCTCACGCCTGGGTTCAGTCCTGCCTCCAGCAGGTGGCAGCGCTGGAAGCCCCACCTTCTGGTCTGCTCAGTGTGCCCACCTGCAGCATGGCAGACTGGCACCCAGCACTGCACCAGGTTACAGCGCCAAATCAGTTAGCATCGTTATCATTTCTGCTCCATTCCAGGGCCGCTAAGCTTCCACTTAAACCTCAGAGGGAGGAGCAGTGCAGCCTGACCTTTAGAAACCACTTTTGTGCACCAGGGTGGGAGCTGTGTGACTCAGGCAGTGGGACTATAATCCTCACACGGCTGCTGATAAACAAGGCAGTTCCACCCTCTGGATTCTTCTCCAGCAATACTGCAAAAGCAAAACACAGCAGGATGGTTTTCATTCTTCTTCCTCTTTGGAGTAATTGCACGAGTTGTTTCCCCCCACACAGAGCCTGCCTGGGTCCCAGCATTTAAAGCAGAGGGTCCTCCCCAGCTGTGCCTCGGGGTCAACTGCAGAGCTTATGCAGAACACAAGGCCCTCAGGGACAGCCCACACTCTCCAGGTGGTTCTGACACATCCCCTGGTTAAGAAGGAAAGCCTTAAAGATCCATCCTACCAGCTGGATCCCCTTGCCAATAAAATACACAGAAGCTTAGATGTAGTTTCAGTCCCCGCAACTGACAGGCCTTCCCTAGACCCCTCTGGCTCTGCAAAGTCAAGGCCAAGAACCTTTGCTTTAGGGTCGTGCTCCCCTAGTTCCATTTTTATGGATTGGTCTCTCAGATGCCACCTGGAAGCAGGAATTGAGACATCAGATATCCAGTGGGCCCTGTGCCCAGGGGGACCCAGGCCATCCTGGCAGTGGGTTATCAGCCTTGGGAGTCAATGACATTGGGAGGGAAAAGTCAGCATCTGACCAGTAAGAGCTATAAGGCCCAAGTGCATGTGGACAGCCAGGCCAGGGCCTCACCCCAAACCTGGGTTTCCCATCCCTGAGCCACCACCCCACCCACTCCCATTGCCCTCCCTCTGCTCTGTTCACAGGCCCCTCTGCAGGCTCCAGTTCGGCGAGGTTCCGCCGGAGGCCCACCTGTCCTGATGCGTCTGTGGCCGGCAGCCTGCCCACGCCACCAGTCCCCAGACACAGGAAGAGCCACAGCCTGGGCAACAAGTGGGTGACTGCATAGCCCTCCCCCGGCCTTCAGACTGGCCTGCATTGGCAGGCATGGCTGCAGGAATGCTGGGAGAGCCCTGCCCGATGGGCCTCTCCTCACCCAACCCTGGGGGTTTTGGGTCTGTGGCCAGCCCACTCTCCTGAGGTTGGTGTGGATTCAGAAAGAGCCCCTGGTGGCACAGTCTGTGTGCCATTCACAGGGGTCCCAGACTCTGGGCTAATGGAGAAAGGACAGAGGAGCAATGGTGGGATTCCAGAGAACATGCCCGAAGTCATCGACTCACTTAGGCCAACACCAGCGACTGTCCCCAGAGCAGATTTCTGTCCTCTTAGCATCTTCTTCACTGACCTATTAGCCAACAGCTGGGGGACGTGTAGGTCCTCAGCATGACTGGGAACAGTCATGCCTGTGTCCCCTGGGCATTGGGCACAGAGTCCTGGTCAGATGGGTCCATCCTTCCCTCCCTCCCTCCCTCCTGCCTGCTTTCTTCCCGTCTCTTCCTTCCCACCCGCCCACCTTCTGTCCTCCCTACATTCCTTCCTTCTACCACTAAGGCTCCGGGAGGAGCTCCGGGGCTGAGGGAGGAGAGGGTCGCTCTCTGGGTACCTGGCGTTTCCTTCCCCTCCATAGATGCTCTGCCACACACCTGTGAGGCCGAGGTCACTGAGAGCCACGCAGGCCTCTGCTATTATTATGCATGCTGTAAGAATAAGTCCAGTGAGGGTCACAAGGTGATGTCCCTTGCAATGGTGAGGAAGTGTTGGTGCCAGGACCGGGCCAGGTGCTGGTGACTCCAGATCAGCCATGCTGGCCACACCCACTGTGCCTCCCTCGTGCGGCCTCATCACTCACAAGCCTTATCTTCATCCTGAGAGACAGGCAGGGCAAGCAGTGTTAGTCACTGTAGATGGATGGAGAAACTGAGGCTCTGGAAAAGGATGTGACTTGCCCAAGTTCATGCCATGAGAGGGCAGGGCCGGACTGTCCGCAGCTCTGGGCAGAGCCTATTCCTGCAGCTGCACTCTGGACTCCCGCCCCCAGAGCAGGTGCAGCCACCATTACTCTGCAGATAAGGAGCTTTGCCTTCTTTCTTCCTTTCCATTTCCAGTATGATGTGTCAGTTGAGTGTAGTTGAGAGTAAAAGTGCGACATTTCCATCGGAGAAAGCCAGGCACCTTCTGGACGACAGTGTCCTAGAGTCCCGCAGCCCCCGCAAGGGCCTCACCCTCACCTCCTCCGCCGTCACCAATGGACTCTCCCTAGGTAAGCGCTCCAGCCTGCACACCACAGGCAGGGGGCCACAGGCCCAGCGGCGTGTGCTCTGTGTCTGTCTCTGTCACTGTGCCACCACCCCCAGTAGCACCTTGCTCCAGGGAACCCAATGCCCCTCACCCTTCCAGAGGCGGCTCCCTGCAAAAATCCCCTGGAGCCAGGAAGCCTCCACTTCCTAACCTCCAGGGCTTCAGGAAGAGCCCCAATGTCCTCCTGCTGTTAGTAGCCCTGAGTGTGGTGGGCAGGTGGAAGAAGCAGCTGAGCACACGCTTGAGTCCTTGTCAACGCCCAAAGCCTGGCTGCTGCTGCTGCTGCTGCTGTAGCACTTGTGTCCCAGGCAGAGCTACAGTCGGGACGCTGCAGGGCAAAGCAAAGCAAGCTGCTTGGGGTGGCAGCTGGATGGGCCACTGGGTTGTCAGTTGGGTACTTCTCTTTATGCTGAGAAACCAAATGAAGGAGGACAAAAATGTGGTCTTCGGGGATGAGATTGCACCACTGAGCATCAGCCAGAGATGGTGCTCATATCAATGGAGGGGACAGAAATCGTACTGCTGAGGCCGGGGCAGGGGACACAGAAGTAGGGCTGAGGCCAGCCTTGAGCTCTAGTCACAGAGCCATCCTCCTGGTGCCCAGGTTAGCTGAAGGCAAGGTGGACGCCCCTTGTCATTACTGCCAGCAGACCAGTGCCCTCTCCAATGGCCCTTGCCTTTCAGTGTGCCTGTGCTTGCCTGTGCTTCTGTGTGTCTGTCTGCTTCCCTTACCAGGGAGTTCTCTCAGGTCTGGTGGGACAGAGAGTTGATCTGGCAAAGACTATAGGACAGTGGGCCAGGAGCAAGGGGAGGCAACAGGAAACCCAGGCAGGACTGTCGCGTCCCACGAACTCGGGAATTAGGGCAGTCTCAGGTTGCGGCCGTGTCAGTCCAGGGGGAAGCTGCTTCCCATCCCCAGAAGTTTGTGACAAGCAAGCTGTGTCTGCCTCTTGTCATTGGAGGAGGTCATCCTGTTTGGAAACTGGCAGGGATAGAGGAGAGCTCAGGACAGTGCATCCCCGCTCACAGGTGTACCTCAGAAGAAGGTTTCTGGCCATGTGCCAGGAAAGACCAGTTAAACAAGGCGAGCAGGCTCTTCCAGGGACCTTACTATGCTCATCAGCATTGTGACCCCTCACAGGGATCCCTCAGAGCCTATGGGTTCCCAGACTCCACTCACGGACCCCTTTTCCTTGAAGTGTGTGGCAGGAGAGGGGTTCTGAAGAGCACACTCTGGCAAATGTGGGCCCAAGAGTATTCAGCTGGGCTCAGAACAGCTGTTTAACATCCAGGAAACTGTCGGAGCGGTGCCTGAGCACAGGCCTGCTCTTCCTGAGGCAGAAGATGAGTGAGGTGCTGTGCTGTCCAGCGTCCAGGGGGAGATCACGAGGTTGTTTGGTTCTGGCTCCTCAAGTCAGGGAGCTCAAAATGTTTTTTTTGTTTGGGGCTGAAAGTCCCTGAGTAAGTGGCCACATGTGCACGTGCCCTGCTTGGAGCAGGCTTGTCCATCTTTCCACCCTCCACATGAGAGCCAAGGACTCTTCCTTGCTCCTTCCGGCTGCTTGGCTAGGTGCTCTTTCAGGCAAAGAGCTCGACCCTCAGAGCATCTGAAGTCTGAGCAAGTGCAGAGCATGATGTGTGGATGCTTGAGTGACAGGAAAAACATCTCTCCTTGGAGAGGCTCCCGTGGTCTGTACAGAAGCAGGGTGTCCCAGTCAGACCCAGGTCCAGGCCCACAGGGAGGACAAGCATGGTACAGGGGCACAGTCCAGACCTTGTCTCTCTCTCTGTGGCCAGGGGTCAGCAGGGGCACTCCCTCAAGACTTGAGGTCAATGTGAGTCAGCCACACTGTCTAGCATCTAGTTCAGCCCTGTCCTTGCAGGTAGAAGTGCTCACATGGCCTCTGTGAGGTAAGGGTGTGCCAGCCCTGTGTCCCCTGAACCAGTAGGGAGGCCTGGGGCGGACAGGATGGTTCTTTCAGCCCTCCCAGATCAGAGTCAAAAATAGCAACAAAAACTCACATCAGGTTGTTGCCCACAGACTGGAAGCCATGGCGAGCTCAGGGGCCTGTGCCCAGTGACCTGGGAGACAGCCCCCTCTCTGCGAGGCCACTGCACTCACTCATCTGTGTTCCTTTTCCAGGCAGTAGTGAGAGCTCAGAGTTTAGTGAAGAGATGTCTTCAGGGCTGGAAAGGTGAGTGTGGCCTCAGCACAGCCTCCCTCCTATCCCACCTCAGGCCCCAGGGAGCTGGAGACAGGCTCTGGCAGAGACAGCCCTGCCCAACTGCTGTGCCTGTGCTGGGTGGCCTGTGGCTCATCAGCTGGAATGAGCAGGAGTGTGTGGAGGTCCTGACCCCCCGCACGCTGTGTAGCTCCACTCCTCCTCTGGTCCTGGAGTCAGCCCAGGAGCACTTCTTCCAGCCCAGCCATAGAGACCCACAGCAGACCAGGTCTGCGATGTGAGCTCTTGAAACTGGAAGCTGGAGAATTGATTAGTCTTGAGATGGACTCGTGGCTCCGCCTGGTGGACTCTAAGAGTATTGCACCCACACGTCCTGGGACCCTGGGCCTGGCATTTACTGAATACCACCCTACTGGGCACTGGTGACAGTGAAGAGGCCACCCCTGTCACTCACCCTCTTGGCTCCCTTGGCACATGGTTTGGCTTCCTGTGCAGAGCCTGTCTGCCGGGGTGTCCAGCCTCCCACTCAGGAGATCACCCACATGATCCACACACCCAGGCTTCCTGGGCCAGCACAGGGCTCTGGGACCACTAGGAAGCTGTTAATGGGTGTCTGCAGGGCTGCTGAAGGTGAAAGTCACCTTGATGACACAAGGTCTGAGGACAGGCAGGAGGAAATCCAGTGATGAAGAATGTCCCAGAGAGGTAGGCCTTCACTGTCCTTTAGAGTGGGTTCCCCACCAGCATCCAGGGGCTTTGCCACAGAGTTCTCCCCGGTATCCTCACATCTGCACACACAGTCACACTCCCACCCGCATCTGCACACCCTGCCCATCCTCACAGCTCAGACACTTGTCCATGTGCACTGACGTGTGCATGCACAAACACATGCACACTCACACACTTCCAGGTGTATGTGGGCAACTGCACCACACACACATATGTGAGTGCACACAACTTACACACATGCCGCTTCCAATGCTGAAGCTTCTGTTGCCTGAGCCCCCATGATCATAAAGTGACCAGAGGGAAGGTCGCTCCCATCTAGCTGTTCCTCCAGGCAGAGGGGCTGTCATGGTCAGGAGCTGTGCTTGGCACTCCCCAGGTGCCGCCACCTCTGGGCCTGTATGTGGACTCACGTAGCCTCAGTGCTCCCCACAGCAGCATGTGTGCTGTCCCCATTTTGTATGGGGCATGCAGAGAGATGAGGTGACATGCCCGCTTCACACTCATCTGATAATGGCAGAGATGACCCTTCTCCATACCCTCCTGCTATCGAGGACCCCCTCTTCATTGCCCTACCACCTAGCCTGAAGACTGGCAGTGACAGCTATAGGGACTGGCCCAATGTCACCAGTGTGTCTGTGAGCCCCAAGATGGGGGCAGGGAGAGGGATTGAGGAGGCCATGCACACTCAGAGGCTCTCTCTCTGCCTTCCCCACAGGGCTCCTGGAGGGACATTTGCTCTGTTCCCGTTTGGGGAGCTCAGGCAACCACCCCGGCCACTGGAAAGGAGAGCCGGGGGCCAAGAGGCATATTCCAGAACAGTCAGACTCAGTCAGAAACTCCTGGGGACACCCTGAAAAACAGGATGACACACAAGCCAGCATCTCCTCTAGACACAGGCCAATGGGAGGACAGCAAATAGGAAACTGGCACAAGGCCAAGGTCCAGCATAGCACCACAGAAACCTCCCAGTTCCTTCCTTCATTCCTTCACTGGCTCATTCCTCCATCCACTCATTTATTCATTTAGTAGCTGTTTAGGCAGTGACTCCCTGCCAGAACCCTCAATGGTTGCTGACGGTGGGCCACCCTGAGGGGTGTTGAGAAGACACAGAGCTGCTAGGAGGGAGGAAGGTGCAGGTCCTGGCCCGGGGCTGAGCGCTATGGGCTGCAGCATCTTACAGCGTCTCAGTCACTATCCATCGAATATCCATAGCAGGTGCATTTGGGGTGGTATCTCCTCTGAGCACTGGCTCCCAGCTGGTGTATCCACACAGATACCCAGCCCTGCCTCCAGGGCCCTCAAACTGCCCTGCAGGGAGGGTGACCTGTTTCTCATTGTCTTGTGACCTAGCTCTTGGCCAAACCCTCCTGGCTGTGGGGAACAGGAGTCCAGTTGCTTCAGGAGATGCCAGTGGAGTTATGATGTCCCAGCCTCATGCAAGCTTGATGATTCAGGTGCCAGCTGTTCCCACTCTCCAGCCCTGGTGGCCAGGCCACCAGTTCCTATTTCTACCCTGTACCATCCTCTGCTCCTGCTTCCTTGAGAGCACCTGAGCTCCAGGGGAAGAGTTTCCTCTCACAGCTTGAGCATCTTTGTTCCATGTTGCTGTTCCCTCACAGTTGTGTGTCACCACCTGGGTCCCTTTACTGCTTATCTTCAGGCAGCCAGTGCTTAGCCTGGGTCCTCCCTCCATTCCCAGTTTTCCCCAGGCCACAAGTTCCTCCTCTTTAAAGAGGAGTTGATCCCTGGGTGTCCACTCTGGCCCACTCAGAATAACAAGGTGAGAGAGAGGAAGGGGTCTGGCTAAGGCAGGGGAGCAGCATTTTGACCTGTCACTCTGAAGTTCAGGAACCATGACATTCAGTTGACCAGCTCCCAAGTCCCCCAGCACCCCAGGCCTGGTGATAGACTTGGCCTGGTCTATGAAGAGAAATGGAGCCAGGTACCAAGTAAAAGGCAAAGAGGCCCCAAGCCAGAGACCCCCTACCACACACAGCTTCAAAAGTACATCCAAATCACCATTAATGCCACCATAAACAGGTGAGCAGGAGAATTCCTATTGTCTGCCAAAAGGGAGATCATTTGATGTGGTCTTGTGAATTTACCTTCCTCAAGTCTACACACATGGATGTTGTCAGTGAAGGGCTCAAAGGTGGTCCTCGGTATCAGTCAGAGGCCAGGCCACACCTCGCTGTGTTCCTGAAATGTCCGGCTTCAAGAACTCCCACACTGTGCCTGGGGAGCCATGGACCACTGTAGAGGCACTGCACCTGCTCTTGCTGGGACTGTGGAGTAAGGAGACAAGGAGCGAAAGACACCCTCCTCTGTGCTCCCCACCCTGTGTCCCCTCATCCATGTCAGCCCTAGCAAAGTCAAGGGCCTGTGGGGCTGGGGAGGAGCAGTAGGCCAGGGGTCAGTTGGTCATCCCTCAGTCCCTGGTTGCCCCAAAGGCCTGACCCTATCCTTAGGGCCCAGAAGGACTGCCAGGTGGTGTGCCTGAGCCATGGTCTTTGTCACTAGGGAGCAGGGCAAGGGTAGGCCGCTTTCTCTGTGACTATACCAGTCGGCCCTGATCCATGGGGCCACAGGTAGAATGAGAGCCCCGCAGCCCACGGAGTGGGGAGGTGTCCTTGAAAGACATTTTCAACCTGGGCCTAACCAGCTGGAGAGTGGGGGCCAGGGACTCACACTGGGCTGGGCTCCAGCCACCTTCAGGCTCAGGGAAGTAAAGAAGGGAAAGGGCCGAAAGTCAGGCGGGCAGTGGGGCAGGCGCTGTGTGTCTGACTGGAGAGGGAGGTGTTGGCACTAAGGTGAGAGCAAGAATATTGTCCCCATGGTCAGCTTACCCTAAAAGAGGTTTGTTTTTAAAAAGGAACAAAATGAATCATGCACACACATGGGTGTGTGCAAACATGCACCATCTCATTCATCTTAATTGTGTCTGGGTTGTAGGTTATTGAGAGACTTTTGTCCCTTGTCTCACCTGCATATCCTCCAGATTTTCCACAATGGCCACATCTTTCTTTTCTACTCAGAAAAATAATTAGCACTTAGCTTTTTAAAGATATCATCAGAGATGATTTCTGACCAGTTTTAAGAAGCAAAATATGAAGGTGTGTCCCTGAGTTCACCACAAAGACCTCGGCAACCGTTTCCTGAGACCCAAGGGGGTGAAGGGGCTTCTCATGTGGGAGATGAGCCATGATAGGGTGAAGGGAGAACCAGGAGAGAAGAAGTGCCCTCAGAGACCCAGCTACCAGAGGAAGCCCCTCTAGGGGGACAGGGAAGAGGGCAGGAGTGGGCAGCACTCAGCTTCTCTGAAGCAGAGGGTCCTCTTCCCTTCCAGCAGGGCTGGGGATATGCAGGGAGGGAGTCTGGGCTCATGGAACCTTAAAGAAGCCATGTGCCAGGGGCCACTGTGGCACTGGGGCCATCCAGTGGGGCTGGTGTCCGGGGGGACCTGCACTGGTTGCAGGTTTAGGGTGACTTCTGGAGGGTGTGATGGGCTTAACAGAGGCCTAAGGGCGTTTGGTGAAGACGACCTTGGTGAGCCCTCAAGGGGTCCTGGGGCCTGAGGAGGCCACTAGAGGTCTCATGCAGGACGAGTGGGCTCTGTGACATGACTTGCTCTCTAGAGTCCCTAATGTATATTTATTTTTATAATTTATTTAGAGACAGGGCCGGAGGTCAGGGCCACCTATGCTCTCCATCTCCCGGGGACCCCCTGGCCTCTAAGCCTCAGTTCCTTGGCTGTGAGCTGGGAACCGCAGAGTAAGCCTGGCACGCCGTGGGGGTGCTCTATGGCAGAAATGAAAGGGGACTTTCTAGAGCTTCCCCCAAATGGGTGCCGTCTGCCGGCAAGCATGCCACCCAGGCCAAGGCTGGGCAGAATCTCCCCCAGTGGCATCTCAGTCAAGGTGGGTGGGCAGACTGGAATGAAGTCAAGTTTTCACCAGCCCTTGTTGGTCTTCAGGGTGGTGCTGCCTCGTGGGGAGGGCCCTCTAAAGGGTGCTGCAGGCAGTTGACCCTGGCATTGCTAGGGGTAGTGAGGAGGGTGAGAGATGCTCTGTGTGAGGTTTCCTGATGAGCTTAGCTCACAGAATTGCCTGCCACCCTTAGGGAGACACATGGAGAGTGGAGTCATGGAGGGCTGCAACAGGTCACCACACCTGCTACCCCACAGTTTTTTGTTTGGATTGATTTGGTTTGGTATCAGGTTTGAACCCAGCGGCACTCAACCACTGAGCCACATCCCCAGCCCTTTTTATATTTTATTTAGAGACAAGATCTCACTGAGTTGCTTAGGGCCTTGCTATGTTGCTGAGGCTGGCTTTGAACTCTTGATCCTCCTGCCTCAGCCTCATGAGCCACAGAGATTACAGGCATGCACCACCATGCCTGGCTACCCCTCACAGTTTTAAAAATATACATTTCCTTTCTTGAGGTCAGAGGACTCTGGACAATGCCCCGGTCTTTCCAGGACACAGGTGCCTCTGCAGATCAATACTTTGCAGTATTTTAGAATAATTAGGCCAAGATCTGGAATGAGGGGTCCCCTCAGCTGCCACGTAGCTGTGTGAGTGGCCATGCTCAGGTGACTCACAATGACCTCATGCCCTCTGCCCCCACACCTGTGCCCAAGGCCTGGGATCCCAGCTCTCATTGCTGCCAGCCCTTCCCAAGGTCCAGTTTCCCTGGGTTCATCCTTGGACTTTGGATCAGGCTACTCTGCCCAGCCCCTGGCGTGGCAGCCCTGTTGGGTGACTTGCCAAATTCTTGACTGGTTTCCCCCCAAAGGTGCCATTTCTTGCTTCACCCCTTTAGCTCCCAATCCTAGAGCCTGGCAAGTGAGGCTCCTCTGAGAGAGGAGTGGCAGGAGTTGCTGATCCCCTGGTTCCAAAGGCTTACACTTGACTCTGTCCTTGCCTAGGGCAGTCAAGGCTGGGCCAGGCCGGGCCAGCCGCTGCTTCACAGAAGCTGAGAAAACTCTGCCCATGGCTTCTCTGTCTAGCACCACAACTCCTGCATAGCTGGTACCTAGAAGGTGAACAGGACTGTCCTGCCTGTGTCTGTCCTCCCCTCTGCCTGTCTGCTCTAGTCCCCCCGGCCCTGCACACCAGATATCTGGACTTCTCGCTGCACAGAGGGGAGGATGGATGCTCACAGCTCCCAGGTTTTGTGTGGTAGCTTCACCCAGCCACTGAACCTGATGCCCAGCCTCTCTGATCTAGTTCCTAACAGCCAGCAGAGAAAAATCTGGCTTGGATTTGCCTGTTGTTCTGTCCTTTCGGCTATCCAGGGAATGGAGACATGTAGTCAGTGTGGTTCCTAGGGAACTACCCAGTGAATAGGGACATCTCCCAGAGAAGGAAGGACAGGTGGCTCACAGAGAGCAAGTGTCCTTCAAAAAGTGCTGCAAAAAGGGCTGTCCCAGGGCCCAGCAGAGTTCAGGGTAGCACTTCCTGCCTATCAGTGAGGGAGACCATTAGACAGTGGCCCAGATGAGCCATGCCTGATGGGCCTGGCCTCCAGTCTAGGGTTTGCCTGTGAGGTCAACATGGTTGATGAGCAGTGCACCTGGGCCCTTCTGGGGGTGCACCACTCTGGTGCACTCCTCCCCAGGTTCTATGCACTTGAGACGGGGTAGGGAGCCTACCTCTGCTAAGACCAAGATTCCTGAGGCCTCACAGTGGCTTGATCCAAGGCTCCTCTCGACTCCTCTGCTCCCTAGACTGGCAGCAAGGGCTCAGGCTTTAACCCTCTTGATAACTACAGCCTAATCATTACTTAGAAAACAATGCCTTAGCCAGTCTGAGTGCCCCAGCTGCTGCCACCTCAACAGCCTGCCCATGCTTCCTCTTCTTTGTGTTGTGACCTTGGGCAAATGGCTCCTCCTCTCAGAGCCTCAGATTCCTTATCTGTGAGGCAGGGATCCCAGTGCCCACCTCACAGTGTTGTAGGATCGTGGGATAAGGAACGAATACTGCTGAGCATGTCGCCTGGACCCACCATTCCATTGCTGTCACCACCACCACCATCATCACCAGCATGACATTATCGTCATTTTTCCAGCCCTGTGGGACGAAGGAGTTCCCCTGGTTCCAGCCTGCATCTTCCCCAGAGAAAACCTCCCATGCACCCCTCAGTTGCCTGCTTGCACCCCTCACCCTCAGCTCTGTTCTGGAGAGCAGACAGTCCAACTGGCCTTCTGAGGACACATTGTGTTGAGCCACATGTCCCAAGAATTATGGTAGGAAAGGTGCCTGTGGCTCTGGAGTGGGAGCCCCCATGGGAAATCCCATGATTTCTGTGGTTTACCAGATACCACTGCCCCCTCATCCTGCAGCTCTGCCCTGAACACCCACATAACAAGTCTTTTCAGAGCAGGGAGGGGGTCAGGCCGTCTGGCTCCTGTGACTGAGGCTCCTGGCTATGAGGTGCCAGCCTACCAGGCCAGCTGGAATGCTGCCTCCTACAGCTTGCAGGGACAGAAGGCTGGCCACCATCCCTCAGAGCTGGCCCTGGAAAAAGGTCACCATCCTGCTGCCCTTCCAGACCTGGTGTGGCCATCCCCAGCTCCAGGGAGAGCAGGACGTGGCTTCCACAGTCGGGAGCAGTGAGATCGGCTCAGGCAGACCTTGCCCACATGTCAAGACGCCTTCTCTGAGCACTCATTTTCCCACATCTGATAACGGGCCAGCAGGGTGGGACAGGGCTGGCTTCTCCTTGAGCCTCAGTGTCCTCATCAAAAACAGGCATGAGAACTGTGTCCCTCTGCAGGGTCAGGTGATTCCTGGTGGAAGCCCTTAATTAGAAGTAAGCAGCTGGCAGCCAAAGCCCCAGGAGAATACTCATCCTGGAAGCCCAGGGACAGGGGCCCTGGCAGGTGCCCCAGCCCAGGAGATCCTCAGGCCTAAGAACTTGGTGGCCACACAGCCTCACAGACGCTGACACACCTCAATCACAGTGCAAGCCACAAGGGAGACCACAGTGACGTGCCCGTGAACAGAATGCCAAGAAGGCCCCACATGGACTAGCCATGGACGTGGCCCATGTAGGCTCTACCATGGCCCTTCTGCCTCTCCCTGCACCTGAATGGCTCTGGCAGATCTGGGTTCACATCCTAGCTGATGAGGCTTGTGCCACCATCCGGTAGCTTCACATTGCTGAGCCTCATTGGGGGAATAATGGTGCTTAAACGAAGCTTCCAGGAGTGAGCATGAAGACCTGGCCCAGGTTAACACCACCCCCTGGTGACTCCTATCCTGCCATGCCCTGCATGCTGGACTCCCCACTCCCGAGGGCCTGAGGAAGGACTGCTCATAGGGCCAGGTAGCTGCAAGATGCCAATCTCAGCCTGTCCATCAGCAAAGGCCATCGGTGGAAGACACAGCCACGGGCTGCCTCACAGAAGCAGGAAGAGCGACAGCAGGAAGGTGGCAGCACTGCCTGCCCTGAGAATCAGCTGGTGGCTGTGGACAGTCCTATTGTCACTCACTGTCCTAGAGCATGAGAAGTGGGCAGACAGAAGGGCCAAAGGACCAGCTCTGGGAAGGCAGCGCCATCCCTGACTCCAGACAGGCTGCAGCTCTGAGTGGGAGCCCAGATCTGAGGAATAGACTTCCCTGGCAGCTGACACACCCACCAAGGACAACACTGTACAAATGTTTGTTGTCATACCCTAATCAAAACACATTCAGGGTGATGGTTGGGGAGGAGAGCGGCCCCGCGGCCCACCTGTTGCTGTCCCTAAGCAGTACCCTGCGGCACAGGTTGAGACCTGTTGTGCAACTGCTGCACTCAGCTGTGAGTCTGTGCATCCTCTGATAGCAGACAAGAGTTGGCCACAGGTCCTCTGCAGGATCTCACGCACACACCCTTCCAACCCTCCACCAGGGGAAGAGACAGGTGCAGTTCAGCCTGAGGGCTGGGGTTGGGCATCCCAGGCCTCTCATTTGTGCCACAGCTCATGGTAGGGCAGGGTCAGCCTGGGACCATCAAGAGACCCATTGCATGGAAGACCTGGAGGCCCAAGCACAAGCTGTGGCATGTCATCGCCTGAAGAGGAGGGGTGATGGTCAAAGCGGGGAGCAGCCATCCCACAAGGCCAGCAGACTTCTATCAGCCCTGAACTTGGGCCCTGAAGAGTGGACCTGATGGCCATTAGAAACTATTTGTCCCCAGCTAGAGGGTGAGGCCCTAGGCTCAATGATGGCACTATGTACCCACAGCAGGCAGAGAGGGTGTCCGACACAATCCGCGGGTGCTAGTGTCATGGGGCCAGTATCTAAGCTGGCATGGACAACGGGAACATTTGCAAAAGAAGCAGGGACCCTGTCTGACTTTATACAGGAAGCTACATTTTCATCTGGCCCATGGGCAAAGAAAGGGCTGGAGTACCCCGCAGGGGAGAGGAGGAGGCTGGCACAGCAAGTGGATTCGGGAATGAGTCTCTAAAATAGAAAAGGATACAGAAGGAGGAAGGCGAGGCTGCTCATCTCCCCTGGAAAGGTTCAGGGTGAGGGAAATGCCAGCAGGAGGCCCTGGAGAGATCCTGGCTCACAGGCTCGGAATGCTGATCAGGTCACCCAACCAGTCTGCAGGGACAGGGACGGCTGGACCAGCAGAGGAGGCCATCCAGAGGAGAGGACTTAGCAAACAGCAGGATCCAGCTATGTCCTGGAGAATGGGGTACTGCATGTGCCCCAGGCCCAACATGCAAGGCTGCCCACAGTTCTGTGCTGGCACGCACCTGACATGGACCTACCATGTTCTGCATGGGCCACGTAGCATCCTATATTAAACATGACAGCCTCACACTGGGGTAACTGGGAAAGGGGAACATTAATAAAAAGTTAATGAAATAATCACCTGAGGCTTAGGGACGTTCCTGGACGGAGCCCCTGAGGGGTGAGTGTTCACTGACCTGGAATGGGCAGGTGGGATGTGCTTGCAGCCTGAGTGAGGAGCCTGGGGAGGAGGCTGACCCACATAATCTGAGGTACTCATAAGTCCAGTCTTTCCAGGCCATCACTAAAATTCACCCCTTTTCCTCCGAAGCAGGGGACGTCTCTATGCCACGCTGGGGCCCAACTGGAGGGTTCCAGTTCGGAATTCTCCCAGAACCCGGAGCTGCGTGTACAGGTATTCATTTATTCATTTTTTCATTTACTCAACAAATAGCTAGGGTGCAAACCTCTGTGCCAGAGGCTGCTGAGGAGGTAGATGCCTCCACGATGCTCCACCGGGCACACTGATGATCCCAGAGGAGATGCTGGGGCTCCAGGGGAGAGGGGTGGGGATCTGGATTGGGAAAATGATAGGAATTGGTCAAATAACGGAAGGGGACACAGGTGATGAGTGTGCTCCCAGCCAGAGAGAGCCTGGGGTGCGGCTGTGACACGGGGAGGGCTGGTGACCTGAGTGGAGGAAAGGCTGTGTTATACAAGGGGGCACAGGTGAGGCTGGGGAGTGGGAGGAGCTTCATCCAGCATGGGCAAAGGTGGTGACCTGCCCCTTGAAAGCAGCAGGAGGCGGGAGACATTGGATGTAGGAGGCATCAGATATAGGAGGGGTCTGGTGTGGAGAGGAGGCAGAGCAGGGAAAGCCCCTGCGCAGAGGTCCAGAGGAAGATGCAAATGGCCTGGGGTGGGCAGGGGGCAGCTGGGGAGGGTAGGGGGTGGGGCAGCGAGACTTATTTAGGACCTGGGATCAATAGATGCTTGGAATTGATTAGTTTGTAGAGCACAAGAGGAGACACACCCCAGGCTTCTGGCTGGAGCAGCAAGTAGGCTGGGGGAAGGCACAGGAGAGCGAGGTGCCCCTGGGATATCCAGTGAGCAGAAGCACGCAGATCTGGAGTGCAGGACAAGGCTGGGCTGACCATGCCCTCCCATGTCATTACCCATGTGTGGTGCCTGATCCACAGCAAGCCTGGAAGAAAAGGGTCAGGGGCCTGGGATGTGGGGACCCCCTCCCTTCTTGCCACTGCAACCCACCACTCCCATATCCTCCAGTGCTCCTGAAGCACAGAGAGGAGGGGCTGCCAGAGCTGGAGCTGCAAGGCCCCTCGTTCCTTGGGTAGAGGAAGCACATGGGCGGGAGAGCCCCAGAGCAGCCAGGAGGAAGGCGTGACAGAGGTGTCCTCTGGATAGGGTGGGCTGCTGCTGGGGCTGGGTTATGCGACACCTGGTGACCAAGCCTCGAACTCTTCAGCCTGCATGAGCCCCTTCTGCTCCCTGTGCCTTCCCTTCCCCAGCTTGACCCTGCACTAGTGAGCCCTCTGGCGTTTGGGAACGTCATGGGCTCACCCTTGGGCTCCAAGGGGCCCCCGTGAGTGAAGGTGCCTGGGCTCATCTGTTTGGGCCAAGTCTGAATGGTGGTCTCCCCTCAGCCCTACCAGCCCATGTACCTGTACCCTGGGGAGCTCAGCAGCTGTGCCCACCATGGAGGGTCCCCTGAGGAGGAAGACCCTGCTCAAGGAAGGACGGAAGCCCGCAGTAAGTCAGGAGCACATCTGCTGGCAGCAGTGTGGATAGCAGTGAGCAGTTTGAGTCTAGGAACTGCCAACCAGGCTTCCGCTCTGGCCAGGTCACCAAGTGGGCAAGGGTCTGAGTTTCCACATCTGTAACCTGGACCAGATTGTGCCCCTTCCTGGAGGCCACGTGTGGCAGAGCATCTGTGCACAGAGCGCATGGGTGAGCTGGGGCTGTGGTAAAGGGCTGGAAGGCAAGTGGGAGCCTGGAGACCCAGGAGGCTGAGTGGCCCAGAGCACATCAGCTGCTGTGTGGCATCCTCATATGCAGAGTCCCTTCCTCCCTGGCAGCATCCTAAGTTAATGGAGGAAAGCACAGGGTATCAGGAGGCCTTTGGCCCCTACCATCTCCTGTGCTGGACCCAGAGGTCATGGTCTCCATGGCCCCACGTGGAAGAACATCAGCCCCTTGTGTGATAAGTTGCTGACAAGCCCGTCAGGAGCTGCAGGTCCAGGCAGCACCTGCTCTGCCCTTCCTGTCCTGCTCTGGCCTTGTCCACTGCCAGAGTCATCTGGACTTGCCCCCTCCTACTGCCATCCACTGTGTAGCTATTGAGCCCACCTGCCCCCTCCAGGTACCCATGGAGCCCCTGCCTTGAGTTGCCAGTTGCCTTGTGAGTGAGGAGGAGAGTCTCTGCTCCAGCTCTGGCCACACTGATCATTTAGACCTACAGTGTCACAACACCTCCTGCAGCATGGGGACTTCAGTCTGTCCTAATGTATAAACCTGCCCACTTCTCTCCTGACCAAGAATGCAGGCCTCAGTCACTACCAGGCAGGAACCAGACAGTGTCCTTGAAGCATCATTGTCCCTAATGCTGGATGACACCTCAGTGAATGATGGAATCAGTTCAGTGGGACATGACCAGGATTTTTGAGTAGAAAAGAATAAAATAGAAAAAAAAAAATCTCAGAGTTCCTCACATGTAGTGGAGATCCACACTGTTTCTTGAACTCTTTACATGCGTGTTGTCTGTGTGCCGGGCCCTCTGGTGTCAGTGAAGAGTCTGAGAGCCACTGCTTTCCCTTGATGATGATGCAGTGCCACCCAGCAGAGAGGGGCCTGAGCACGGTGGTGCTGAGCAGCTGGCTCCTTCTTCCTTCCAGGGTGGGGGATTTGCTTTACCTTTTCAGAACCAAAAGCCCCCACTGGAGTGGCTTTTCCTAAACCGAGGAGCAGAGTCCCTGAGCAGGGAACCACACCTCTAGTTGGTGACGGAAGCCGGCCCACGCCAGGGCCCTGCAGGTTTTCTGCTTCCAGGCATCAGTCTCCTCCAAAGCTGTTCACTACAGATGTTATGCTTCTTCTAGTCACTGCTTGGCATGGCTGTATTTTATTTTATTTTAAATATTTATTTTTTAGTTGTAGCTGGACACAACACTTTTATTTCACTTGTTTATTTTTATATGTGGTGCTGAGGATCAAACCCAGGGTCTTGCATGTGCGAAGCGAGCGCTCTACCGCTGAGCCACAACCCCAGCCCCATGGCTGTATTTTAAACATGCTTTTTTCCAGGACCCTCTGAGTTCAGGTCAATGGAACATGTAGGAATTAGGCCCTGAGTTCAGCTTCCCTCCCACCCTGCCCTCAACAAAGTGGAGGGCCACATGAGGGAATGAGAGAGGGGCCCCTCCTCTTTTCCTGGGTGGAGGTGGCATTGCCAGGGGTATGGCAGGGGGCAGTGAAGAGAGAAACCTGTACTGGCATTGATGTGGTGACCAGGCCACTCTGTCCCCACCATGTGTCATCCCTCTGCCTCCCCTTCCTCTGTAGCTGTCCTCATGGACCAGATACTGGGTCATACTCTCAGGATCCACCCTCCTGTACTATGGAGCCAAGTCCTTGCGGGGCACAGACAGAAAACACGTAAGTCAGGTGGAGAGGACACCCACACCAGGACTTCACTGGACTTCATCCAGTGGGGGGCACTTCTGTGAGCTTCAGGGGTGGGTGGGAGGGAAGCTGGCCTGGCACAGGTAGGCCTCCCGGCTCTCTGTTGTTCCCCTCAGTATAAATCCACACCTGGCAAGAAGGTCTCCATCGTGGGCTGGATGGTACAACTGCCCGATGACCCCGAGCACCCGGACATCTTCCAGCTGAATAACCCCGACAAAGGTAGGCAGCAGGCTACCGGCACCGCACCTCCCCCATTTCCACTTCTGCCAAAGGTGCATCTCAGCACATTAGGACCTTTGAGGCTGCGGTTTCTATTTGTGTGAGGTTTGGTGTCACCCACAAGTCCCCTCATTAGTCCACAAAACTTCTTAGACCACGGCTGGTGCGTCCTTTGAGCAGTAGCTGCAAGAATCAGTTTCATGATTTTGCCTCAGGCTACTGAGGCCCCTCACTCCTGGAGCTGGAGCCTCAGTGTCTTGGAATAAATAGCAATGTGGGGTGAGGCAGGGCTGTGGAGCTGGGAAGGTCTTGGGTTTGGGGCATTTCAGGAACCCCTGACTTAAGTATAACAACAAGATGCCAGCTGTCCAGGTCCAAGGCCAACTCAGAAAAGAATTCTGCAACTTCCAAAAACTCTAGTCCCTGTGGTTTTTTTCTAAGAGGAATCGAGGATATTTTCATATCATGTCTCACTTGTACATATCTCAAAATATCGCTTCTGTTCATCTTTGAAACACAGCAGTGTCAGACCTGCCACTAGATCTATTATTAGTGCATCAGTATAGCAGAATGTATAGATGATGTCACTCAGCTTGTTTGGGGGTTTGGTTTGATAACTGCTAATGACTTTTTTGGTATTATACTTTGGACATTTAAAATGATTATTCTGAGAAGGGGCACACAGGCTTCACCGGACAGCCAAACATGGCCAAGAGCCTATTCCAAAAACACAGGCCAAAGGAACATGGAAGGCTGCCTCCCCTGCCAGCTCCGGCTTACCCAGGGCGCCCCTACTTCAGTCACTCAGGCACCTGTTTTCCTTTACATGGTCACAGGCGACCGTCCCATGTGTCCCTCTTCTCAACCAGTGCTTTCTCTGCCCATCAGGCAATGTTTACAAGTTTCAGACGGGCTCCCGATTCCACGCAATACTGTGGCACAAGCATTTGGATGATGCGTGTAAGAGCAACAGGCCTCAGGTAAAGTCCCCTGAGTACCCTCCCACCCTGGGCACTCAGCCCTTTAGATAATGGGACTCCCTTCTTCCCTCAGAGTCCATCAGCTCTGCTCCTGGGCACCCTCCCTGGGTCAGCATTTTCCCTTGGGGCAAGGCACCCCTTCTTAGCTTAGAACAAAGCCCAGTTCCAGATCAGAACATTGAATCTGGTTCCTGTGTCTTTCCCACTAAAGGAAACACCACAGAAATACCCACTGGGGGAAGATGAGGTGGCAGGTGTGATATCAGTCAAGGAATCAAGTTCCTGCATCATCAGGAACTTTACTTTTGTCATCCCCCAAAAGTAAACTGTTTGGGAATACTCAAAACTGATGAGAATAACAGTAATGGCTAAGTTGCTAAGAGCCAGCCATGTGCCAGGCAAGGGTGCTGATGAATGGGGACTCCAGCTCCCCCAGGGGACTGTATTGATGTGGGCTCCCTCTGCCCCCATTACCGCCCCCTCTCCTCACCACCTGTTACACAGATGCTTCATATGCAGGAGTTGGCTGGTCCTCCCACGTCCCTGAGAGGTAGCTTCTCTTACTGCCTCTATTTAACACTGAGGATCCTGATGCTTATAAAGTAGCAGACACACTGGTTGGGGTGGTGCAGGCCTGTGATCCTAGTGACTCAGGCTGAGTCAGGAGAATTGCAAGTTCAAGGCCAGTCCAGGCAACTTAGCAAGGCCCTGTCTCAAAATAAAAATAAAAGGACTGAGGATGTAGGGCCTGGGTTGTGGTTCAGTGGTAGAGCACTTGCCTAGCATGTGCGAGGCACTGGGTTCGATCCTCAGCACCACATAAAACTAAAATATTGTGTCCACCTAAGACTAAAAAATAAATCTTAAAAAAAAAGGACTGAGGATGTAGCTCAGTGGTAAAGCACCCTTGGGTTCTATCCCCAGAACCAAAAAGAAGGGACCAAAGGAAGAAAGGGAGGGAGGAAGAGAGGAAGGGGTGGACACTTGTTCAAGGGCCTATAGTTAGTGAGCTGCGGGGCTGGGATCTGGCCCACAGCGCCTGCCTCTGGATTCTGACGGTGTTGGCCTGGGCTTTCCCGCCTCCACTTCCCTGGGCATACCTGCAACTGCCTAAGGGGCCTGGGGGCACAGCCAGCCAGCCAGTTGGGCCTGGGTCAAATGTGGCTGCTTCCAGCCTCCACACCAGATGGGGGTGCATCAGTGCTTCTATCCCTAAGCACCCATGTCAGGAGGGACTTGGGGACATGGGATCCCTCCCTTCAGTCTCTCTGGGAGAGAGCATAGGGTGTGGAATAGCTAGTGGTAGCCTCCAGGAGGAAAGCTGCTGGTGGCTGGAAGCAGATGAGAAGCTGGCAGCAGCCCTGCAGGTCTGAGGGGTCCTCAGCAAAGGCAAGCTCACACCAGACACTTGGGTCTGGGGGGACAGGGACACAGCACAGCCACAGACTTCTCAGCTCTTCAGAGTATCTCTTATAAACAGATGGAGGTCTCTAGGGGCAAGTCCTTGGACTCTGCCCTCAGCTTGGTCCCATTGAGGAATTTCATCTGTAATGTAGATGAGGACACACAAGAGAAGCTGATTGAGATTGTCTGTGTAAAGAGACTGGAAAGCAGAACTAGTGGAATGTCCTCAATAAATGGAAGCAACAGGACAAAACTAACTGGGGGATAAGCTTGAGGCAGCACAGAGGCCCCCCCAAAACTGCACTGGAGTCCCTTGACTCACCTATGGGACTGCTAGGGACATGCTCGCCCATTTCCTTAAAGATACATATTAAAGAATGTTCACTGTAGCATTATTCTTTATAAAAACAACAATAACAACAAACAAAACACCTGGAACCCTCCGGAACCCACAGCAGATCCCTATTGCGCAACCCTGGATAGCGAGCCATGTGCCATCCCTGAAAGAGGCTCTAGGTATAAGCAATATAGGAAAGAGCAGGAGCATTGGAAGGCTTAGTCTTATTTGTACCAAAGTATGTATGCATCCAAGCTACTCAGGAGGCTAAGGCAGGCGAATCACAAGTTCATGGTCACCCTGTAGGGGGAAAGGGCTGTGGGTAGAGCACTTGCCTAGCTGGCACAAGGCCCTAGGTTTAATACCCAGCCCAGAAAGAAAAAAAAAAAAAAACTGCACGTATGTTTGTATGTGCATGTAGAATTTCTACATTGATATAGAAGAGACTAGCATTCTGAAGTTTCTAGAGTGTTTACTTCTCCCCCTCCCAATACTGGGGTTGAACCCAGGGACTTGGACATGCTAGGCGAGTACTCTACCACTGGGCTACATCCCCAGCCCAGTTTGTATATATTTAGTACATTCAATTAACATGATTGCCCATCTGCACAACGGGAAGACCAGTGGTTTGGGTCAACAGTAGTTTCAAGGCAATTCAAAGGGGATAAGCTGACAAGGTTAAAACGAAGGGGCTGCCATCTCAAGCTGCATAAAGAAAGGAAGAGCTGGACCTGGAGCCACCTTGACCTCCTCCACACAGGTTATCCCAGATGTCTCAGCACCACTAAGAACATACAGCACACTGATGCTCACCTCCCACACAGGTGGCCCTGTGATTTGTGCACAGAGGCCAGGTGGCTCCAGGTCCAACAGGAACTGACAGCCCTGCAGTGGGCTGCCTAGGAGGGTGTGGGGGAAGAGGCAGGGCCCTGGTCTCATGGAGGCACAGCAAGGAGAGCCCTGGGCAAGGACCCATTGTCCCTCTGTAGGGAGCAATCAGCAGGTGGCAGCAGCTGCTCAGCAGGCAGTGGGGGTTTAGGAAAAAAAACATGGGGCAGAGTGAGCGTTTGGTGAGATTGCTCATGCTGGCAAACAGTGCACTGTGGCAAGCTTCTGCCACTTTGAAGTACTTTTGTCCAATATTCAGACCTTTTTTTTCCCCCTATTTTGTTTCCTTTTTATTTCTAATTTACTTCCCATCAAGTAGTTCCATAGTACTGTATGGAATAATAAGAGGTTAGCAACAATCTAAATACTCAACATCAGGGGATTATTTAAATGAGTCATGGTGTGTCCCTGCAAAAGAATGGAGGGAAGATGTGCAAGGGCTGCACAGAAATGCAGCTGTCCACGTGGAATCTCAGCCACTAGACTGTGTTTCTATTTTGCACTTCTCAAAATTGTTTTACTGACACTGAATCCACTTAAACCTTATTTATAACATATGTGTAAGATACAAACAACAGCAGAATGAACACCCACATATCCACCTCCCAGCCAAAATGCAGAGCCCTCCAGGCCTAGGAGCCCTCCCTCCCGCAAGTGCCTCTTCCTGATTCTTTCTTTTCACCCTCACCCCATAGCCATGCTCCTGATGTGTGTGTTACTTACTTTTATTACTTTATTTTCATTTACTGTGGTAGGGAGAGCAAGCCAGGGCATGCATGCTTGCTAGGCAAGTGCTCTACCACTGAGCTACACCTCTAGCCCTCCTTCATAATTTTAGAACACGCATTTGATTTTTTTTTCTTGTATTGTCTGGGTACATTTGTAAAGCATCTTTGTGACTAGAACCAGAACTATACATTTCCTTCTGTGACTTGTTCTTCCACTACACGTTCCTAAGATTCATCAGTGTTGATGTGTGTATCTGTCATTCATTTATTTGTGCTGATTTTTCTATCAGTTCTGCTGTCAGTCATCACAGGAATGACTTCCAGCCTTTTGTTCCTATGAGAATGCTGCTGCAAACATTTTTGTAACTGTCTCCTGGTAAATGGGAATGCTTTTTTTTTTTTTTCTAATTCATCATTTTGACCAATTGTTACTGACATGTGCTTGTTTTGTTTGTTTATTAATTGGTACTGGGGATTGAACCCAAGGATCCTCTACCCCTGAGCCACATCCCCAGTCCTTTATTTTTTTAAATTTTAAGACAGGTTCTCACTAAATTGCTTAGGGCTGCTCTAAGCTGCTGAGGCTGATCTCAACTTTGGGATCCTCCTGCCTCAGCCTCCAGTGTTGCTGGGATTACAGGTGTGGGCTACTGCTATATATATATATATTTCTAATAAAATCTCTTGGAACCCAAAGCAATGCCAGAGAAGAAAGTCCAAGTCTGGGGATCTGGAGACAGCTTTGGGGACAGTGGCAACATTCTGAACTTGAGGTCAGTGGTCCTCCCAGTAAAGGGGGCTAAGATCTTGTCCTGGACATAGCTATGGAGAGGTATTGGGTTCTCAGTATCCGCACGCTTTGTCAGTCTCCTGTGTTTCTACTTGTCATCCCCTAATGACCTACCCTCTGCTGCTTATCCCCTCTAAAGGCATACACTTTGTTCCTTCAGGGTTTGACTTCCTCACCCTAAACACAGTTTTATTTTGAACATAGGATAATGGCTGAGAGCATGGGCTTAGGGTCTGAGCCCTGCTTTTTACTTGCTGTGGACTTAAACCCTCTAAGCCTAAGTTTCTTGTCTTCATTATGGGGGTGTTTCCGGCACCTACCTAATAGGATTGCTATAAGAACTTGAGCACATGATGCATACGAAGCATTCAGAGCAGTACCCAGCACATGGGATTGTGACACGTAGCAGCTGTTATTATTGCCATGCCCCCACCCACCTGACCTTGCATTAACAGACTTCCCCTAGAGACCACCCCTGTCTCTTCAAAGGGTTAAAACTTTGACAAGAAGCTGAGCTTTCTCTTCTAGGTACCTGCAAACCTTATGTCATTTGAATAAGTCTCTGCAGGACTTGGCGTGACTACAAAGGCTTCTGGGAGCCCAGACTGGGCCTGGTGGACAAGAGCAACCCTGGGCACAGACTGTGAGCCAGGGCGCTGGGAGCCTCACAGCCAGACTCACGGGATGCGCACAGCCTTCAGCCTCACAGTCGCAGAGGGCTCCCCAAGTGCTGGATCCACCTGTCAATCCCCAGCGACTCCCATGACTCTCATCCTGCAGCACCACCTCACAGGGCGGTTGTTGGACCCCAGACTGCACACCCCGAGTCCCCTTTCTGGGCCTTTGTTGTCCACCAGCTGCTTCTGCAACAGAGTACATTTGGCCCACGTTGGGTTCTCCTGCTTTCTGCTGACACAGTGGACAGCATTAACCTGCGAAAGGGCCAGAGAGCAGGACAGGCTGCGGGACAGGCTCGTTACACCCCAAGTGCACGGGGCTGCTCACCCCCAGGGCTGCCTCAGATTTTGTACAATCCCCGAAGCGTCCTCTGCGTATGTGTGCCGTCCATGTGTGCGTGCGAGTGAGTGTGAACTCTTCAAGAAACATGCATTTTGGCACAGGACTTGTGACATCACACACTTCATTCGCTTTGAGGGCCTGCTTTCACCTTCAGTCATAGCCTTGTCCACCGAGAAAGGTCGGGTGGGAGCGCCAGTGTTAAGGCTCCCTCACATTCTCTCACTGTAAACAAACAATGCCTTAAACCGTGTCTTGCTTTCTGTTCCTATGGGTGCTAATCATCTGGAAGGCCTGCTTCCTGGGCCCTGGGGCTCTGCCAGGCCTTGTTGCTGTCAGCCCTTCCGAGCAGGAACCGGCTCAGGACGGTGGACTGGGCCGCTGGCCTGCTTGCTTCCTTTCATGCCCTCTCCTAGCAGGGCCTGGGGCCCTTTCATCTCCCCCGCTCCCGCCACGCCTGCATGGGAAGTTGTGGCATGTTCTCCTGGTGTCCTCAGAAGCAGCTCGGAGGCCGCCGTGCTCACAGTGATCGGCTGCCCAGAGGCCCCTTCACGCCAACCTCCCCCACAGGGCAGGCTGTGCTCGCTGCCATTGCCATCGCACCCCTTGGCCTCCACTGCCAGGGCAGACCCACCAGGATTGCTGATCATGCTGGGAGCTGAGTGACACTGAGGCCTTAAGCTCCCCGAGTCTTGCCCCCAAATGCAGTCACCAGCAAGTTCTCCATCATCCAAGTCCAAGGGCACAATTGTGGATGACCATCTGAGAGCTCTGGGGAGCAAATGGTCCAGCCTCTGCATTTGGCTAAGAGTGCTTTCCATGAACAACAGCCTTGATCTGTCACACTCTGTCATAATTTAAAGTGATTTTTATTTTGCACAAATATATTTTTATTCTACATTAATTGTGCTTTATCATCATAGCCTGTCTCTGTCTCCCTTTCTCTCCTTTAACTTGAATATCTGTATCCTGAGAGGGAAACCCTTAAATGATTTTCTGAAAGAGCCTGAATTTCTGGGTCCATTGCTATCATGGTCTCAGAACTCACACCAACAAGGCATCAAACTGCCCTGAAGAGTTTCCTGGCAAGAAGCTTCACAACACCTTAATCAGTACACTGTAATAGGTCACCACTATAAGATCCACCAACAGACCCACCACAGTACTTTGATCAAATGGTGACGACTCTGAAAATCTGAATGTGTCACTGAGGGAGTGTTGTCATCAGGGTGATACATTGTGCTGGAGCCTGACTGTGCTCAGAAACTCACCTTCCTTTGGAGCAGAGACTGGATACTTTCATGCCAAAAGAAACTCCCAAAGATAACGTTGATGCCATCAAATCTCGGCCACAGCCTTGCGTGCCCGCCCATACCCCAGGTCTGAGTGTGTGCACCTAGACTCTTCAAGTTGGTATCTGAAGGCTGAGTAACAAGGCCAGACACTGCAGTCACTTCCAACCAGAACCATGCAGTGGTCATGCTTTGACCTACATCCAATCTGATCTCACCTGTTAACTTCTAAAAAGTCTTCAGCTTGGATAGAAATGCAAGACTGGAACACTGGCTACTTATTTTCCTTGTTTCTCCACTCTTCACACTACGCTGGCTTTTCACATATGAAATACAACAGATGCCAAATTCCCAGAATTTCAGGCTCAACTAAATCAAATAGTTTTCTGTCCTTTACAGATGCTTCTTCTCCTTCACAGATGTTTGCTTCTGAGCCTAATTTGAAAGAGCACAATCACAATTCTTTTCAAAGCACTTAATCTGTTCACTAGTTGAGACTGATCCCACATCACCTCTCAGAAACATTTCTTTCCTTGGACTCTTGAAGAATCAGTTTGGTCTGACTGGCAAAAGCCAATCTTATTGGCAAAAGCCTGGTAGGACTGGTAAGAGCCCTGAACACATCAGAAGAGTCCTGGAGATGTAGTTGAAAGATACTCAATTCTCCAAGCAGGGACTCAGGCCAAGTATGTGAGTTCAGTGCTGATTGTCTTCCCAGTGCTAGCTTGTCCCACAAACCGGGCACAAACCACGGAGGGTGGGGGTCCTTGGGTGGAGTCTCGCCCTAGAGGGAAGTGTTTCTGGTTTTTGCTCCTCGACTGTCCATTGTGCACAAATACTTGTGAACCCACTGAAGGTCTTATGTCTTGCATGCATATACTGTAAATTTTTTTTAGGCAAACAAAATCGTGGCCAAAATGAAAGGTGTAGAATGCTGTCTACAAACTGGAGTAGATAGCTGGTAGCATTGTGATGTCCTAAGAACAATCCATGCAGCTCACCCCACTTACTTTCTAACCCTCAGTTGAACACATTCTGTATGTAACTCAAGGTCAGCTGAGTGCATTCTAGCAACTGGAATGCTTTGTGGAGGAGGGTTTGGTGGAAAGCCGTAGAAACATTTTCTGAATATACCCAGGGTGAATGCAGCATTCCCTCCCCTGACTGTTCAGCATCCTGTCAGACAGAGGCGCTGAGGAGCTGAATACTTGAAGGAATCCTTGAGGAACTCAAGGATTGCCAACTGATTTCTAAAGTATTTCTTTTCCTTACCGAGACTTTTACCTTACTCCCTGTCCCAAGCCCAGAAAGGTGTATCTTTAAGGTCACCATATTTCAGGTAGAATATGATCTGTGAAAATGGGGAGCCGTTTGCAAGCCAAGCTTGCTTTATTCCTGGGTGGGTTCAGAGTGCTACATCCACATTGCTGATGCTCACAATTACAGGTGAACATCACCAAAACACAATTTTACTTCTTTTTTGTGACCCCGTATATTATTGTAATCAACCCTATGTCATTATTGAAATATTGGGTGATTTCATGTTTTAAAAACAAAAAGAAACTGTAAGAGTCCCTTTGAAATACAGTTTCTCTGCATAAAACCCCCATTCTTTCATTTATTCATTCATATCTCTAGTGAGTGTCTCCCATGCACGAGGTTCTATCCAGGGTATAAATGGCTGAAAACGAGACAGATTGGATCTGCCTTCGTGGGGTTGACCACTCAACGAACAAATGATCCCCACCTCATGCACCTCCTTGGGCAAGAACCCACCTCTCCCCAGCCCAGGGTACAATCTTCATGCACAGATTCTTCCAGAAACACTTCAAAAGTCCCCACAGACTGACCAGTCTTACTCTGTGAGTTCTGTCACAATGAGGACTAGCTGGAGTGTGCACTAGAGGCCACATAGTTCAGAACAGTTAGGCACAGAGCTGTGGCTGAGCATACAGAAGACTCCAAAGGTAGAATGAGAGAGTAAGGTCGGAACCTCCACCGAGTTTATGTGATAGGCTTTTGTCTTTAACTTTAGTGTTAAATTCAAGTACAATATGAGCAAGAGCTGCATTTTCTTGGCCGTGGAGAACTTGTCCATGGACATTGATCCACCTCATAGCCCTCTGCTGCACAAGTGTGTTTACCCCTAGGGCAGCCCCCAAATCCCCTCACAGCAGCGCAGAAGATCCATCAGTTCATTTTATAACCATGAGTCTATCCATTTCTGAATGACTGTGACCATTCAGTAATGAAATAATAGAAATTGATTTATTAGTATAGTATAATCTTTAATAAATTTCGTGCCAAAATGCATGGTTTTCCACTTAGCATTCAAAATGTTGCGTAGAAAGTAGTTTTCGATTTCTTATGTATTCTTCTAAGTGGGTTGAAAATCAGTTTCTACATTTTCGTTCGTTTCTTGTTAAATCTGTTGCATTCTCCCAGGCTGTCTTTTTTTCCAGCAGACCCCTGCATGCAGCTGTGTAAGGACTTTCTCTAATACTTGTGAATTGTCTCATCTGCAATAACCACTGAACATCAGCCCTCCATGGGATTCTTTAGATTTTTGGTGAAGTATTTTGTTACCTCAGTCTTGTATCAAGTTGCTGTATTTTTCAGCTTGTTACATTGATAATAATTGTTTCACTAATTAAATACTTTAATGTACAGACATCTTTGTTTACTTTGAAATTAAATGTGTTTTCCAATGAATATTGTTCATTTTATTAAAATCACACGCATTCATTCACATGGCAGTTACTGTGCCAGGTAGCACATGGAGGAGGTATGGGACACTCAGCTCAGCTAAGAGTAACTAGAACATACATAGCATATAGGAGTAGTACTCTCAGAAAGGGACAGGGGCAGTGCTGCGGGGGCACTCAGGAGAGGAAGGCAAGAGAGCTGGAGACACCTTAGAGGGCAAAGGGCATTTGAAAATTCAGTTCAGAGACCACAGAAAACTTGGAGGCCAAGGTTGGGGCAGGGCTAAGAAATGAGAAGCAGGGTAAAGGGAGAGGGGAAGCGCCCAGGTCTCACTGTGTAAAGAATTAGGGGAGCTATGCGTCTAAGTCCAAAAAGATATTTTAGAAGTTCATGATGCTAGGCAAAAGTAAACAACAACAAAACTGAAATTAAAATCCATTCTCGCTTGCTTAAAAGAAAAAGGACTATTTTAAAGGGCTTTCTTGTCCCTGGGGCAAGGACCAAGGGAATCTCAAGAGGGGCTGGAAGGAGAAATGGAAAGTTCTTGCTATCTCTCTCCCTCTCTCATGGGAGTCTTCTCTCCAGGCATCTCCTTCCTTCTCCTTCCAGACTGGCTTCTCTGCTTGAATGTGCAGCATCAAGGGAGGCCAGGCCGAAGGAAAAGCGACTGAAAGTCATTGGGAGAGTGCTCCAGGGAATACCACGATCCACGCTGATTATGGGATCCCCTGGCTCTGCCTGCCTGGTCAGTGCCTACCAACGCTGCAGTTCTCTAAGCAAAGGTCCTCGGCCTCTGTTCTACCAAGCTAGTTCCAGGCCAGCACGATCACACCTCCGTAATTGCGACGAGGCTTCGCTTGCTGAAGTAGCCATAGTCTACTTCCTCTTCATGATCTAGATGACCCAGTGATCCCCACTTTTTAGATGACCCAGTGATCCCCACTTTTACCCATACGGGTCCCCGTTCTCAGCCAGCGTTCAAGGGCTCTGAAACGATGCGTCTAATTTTGGGAGGAAGTGAGCACAGTTGTCACAAAGTTGGAAAGTGATGAAATCAAAACTTGAGCCCACGATGGCGAGTCTGCAAAGCTCCTGCCCCTCAGCCTGAGTCTGGCGCCACAAACAGCCCCCAGGAGAGACGCCACCTTCGCTAGTCGATCCGCTGCTAGCGCATGCTTCACGGAGGTACGCCGGTTTAGCCAGAAGGGCGGTCCCGCGAAGGCAGGTGCTTCCAGAGGTGAGAGGCGGCGTGGAAGGGGCCGGGCAGGCCCGGGTCGGGTCGGTGGGACTGGAGGAACTGGGCAGAGGAGGGGCGGGGCTCCAGCAGTGCGGTCATGCCTGTGGGCGGGACACGGGGGAAGGGCGGCCCCGAAAGGGGGCGGTGCTACAACGGAAAGGGCCAGGAGATGCTGAGGCGAGGAGGGGCCGGGTGGCTACGCTGAGGGAGCCGAGCTGCTGTGTGAGGGCCCGTGCCGCGCGACCTCGCGAGCGCTCAGTAGCTGAGGGGTAGGTGGGCAGGGCTGAGTCAGTGCTGAAGGGCAAGGAGCAGGAGGGCCAGCGCGGCGGGTGAGACAGGGTGAGGAAGGAAAGGCGTTTCGGGACTGTAATCTCCACAGAGGTGCATGCGAAAGGCTGCCTTGAGGCCCCCGGCGTGGCTTGAGCGGGAGGGGCGTGACTGGAGCTTGGGGCGGAGCCGGGGCGGGACCTGTGATGGACCGCAAAAGCCCGGGGCCGACTACGCAGAAGTTCGGGGCGGGGAGGGGGCGTGGCCTGGGCCCTGCTGAGGGGCCGGTTGGGCTGGGGTGTGAGGCGGGGTCTGGGCGTGGGAGGGGCGG